TTTATTAAAATAGTTCTATTCAGTAACTAATTAATTCAAAGTTGAGAAACCAGTTGGGAGGTGAAAAAGCAGGAAAGTTTGTTTTCCTCTTGTAATCTACAAATAAAAACTAATTATGAGGAGATGAGACCTACTAGCTTTGAAATCTTGAAGGATATGGTGATCAGAAACTATTCAATTCACTGACTACAGATAATTCTACCTTTGTTTAATAAATCAGCTAATTTTAAATGCAAAAACCATTTTGATCAAATTATTTTTCTTATGCATCCATTATATTAAAAGTAGCTGTATTTAAGTAATGAAAAACAAATAATTTAAAAATGTGCAGTTTTAATTAGATCTTACTTTCCATCCAAATGCAGATAGACCCAAATCATGCATAAAAAGTAATCATGCAGTAAATAAGAAATGTGTCATTTATCATTTTCTAACGTAATAAACATATAAGAAGTAAAGAATCTGAATAAATGTATGTTAAGCCACATGACTGTTTACATTCAGATACAGGATAAATTATATGTATAAATTACTAAATTGTATAAATGCAAAATAAGATTCAAACAGACAATTTACAATGAAGTTTCTTGTTTTAAATCACACTGACTATAAGCCATCTATAGCAGTGGTTCTCAACCTTTGGTACCTTACATACCCCTTGCCGATCGACATGGCAAAAGCAAAATCGGAAGTCCCCAGTCTTTAGTTTAAAGACTCCAGTGCCTGTCATTGAGACATCTAAAATCTTAAACAAAATTTGCTCCTTGCAAACATTTCATATCCTGCAGCTAGACAGCATGGCAGAATTCCATTACCCATTACACACCCCAAGGGCAGTTTTCTAGCCATGTAAGTAGCATTTTTGGCACAAATAAATAATTTGTGGTTCTATTACCCATGCACTATGGGTGAATACATATCCACACATCTACTGAGAATGTGTAGCAAGCTGTACTATGTATGTGGCTAAGTACAGACAGTCAAAAAGCCTGAGGCTGAAACAATTCAGCCTTTGCAGGTTAGTCCAAGCTGCACCTTTTAAAATTCAAACAGAAATGACATTTACCTTTGATTCAGGAAATGCAACCACATGCCTGCAGTGGCTTAGGTCAGAAGCCATGGGGTGCTAGAGCACGCCTCTCTGGCACATGGCCAGCACAGGTTGCGTGTTCGCGTCTTCTTCCTGCTGCCCTCAAGGTCTCTGGGATTTGCAGTCCAAAATTACAGCACCAGCACTCTGCAGGGTTGCTCATCACTTCCTCTTCCTCTCCCTCTTCCTCTTCCTGCTTCCAGATGGCTTTGGGATTTGTAGTCCACAGTTGCAGCTAGAAGTAAGTTTGAGGGTGGGGGAAGGGGTGTTTAACTCCCCTCCCTGACCCCAGACACCAGCCAGCATTTGCCTGGTGGTGGGGGGGCGGGCAGTCCCCCCTATAGACTGGGCTGCATCCCCAGCTTGGCTTGCCCGCCTCCGCATCCCCACCTTGTCAGCCAACCCTCACTGCTCTAGCTAGGGAGCAGATGGGCAAGGCCATCCCTGCTTTCTGGAGCAGACAGCATAGTCCAGCCCAGGGCTGCAAAGCATGCTGGGATGCTGGGGGACTCTGATTTAACTTGAACCAGGACGGGATCTGGGACAGAAGTTTCATAAACTGGTTTGACCCAAATCAGTTAAGTCTGATACTCCATTCAACCAGGTTTATCTTAAACCAGTTTTGGCCATTTTGAAACTGGTTTGTGTGCACTGAGTTTCTATTACAGGTTTAAACCAGTTTCTGATCACTTAAACCAGTTTATGTGTAACTTCTGTCCCTAGCCTGTGTGTACCTGAGCATGAGTCCATGGGCATGGGGCTGGGAGGGGAGTGGGGAGAAGTGGAGGGAGAACCTTCCTGTGCTTTAGCTATGACAGTTGAGTGGTTTGGGCACTTGCACAGGAAGCATGAGACCCAGGTTTTAGGCTTTACTCTAAAGTTTGGAATTGTATCTCTCTAAGTCACAGGCTAGGCTAGGCAGTCTCTAACCTTCCTTTTCAAACTATGTCTCCCCACTTTGTATTTAATATTCATTGCATAAAATGAATGGAGAATAACAGAAAAGTTTCTGTCCCACTGTGAGCAAGTCCAGACTCGAACCTAGCACCTGCTCCCTTCTAGAACAACTTGCATATTACTGAGTCACACACCCCTTAACATGTTTTCTTCTACCTGGCCCTGCATGATCGCCAGGGATCCTGGTTCTCTCTATTTAAAAACTGCAAATTCTCTGTTAAACCCCCACCCCCAAATTCTCTAATTAACAACAACAATTCCATATTTTTCTGCCATTTAAATGAAACACCACTATACATGTAGGTATCAATTTAACACAATGTTTTATTGATATATAAAGCAATTTGGAAGCCTACCAGTGCCTCAGTCATTATAAATACAATACATTCTAAATACCTATATATTCTGGTGTTTGATTTTGGGTGTTTTATCATGCAGAATCAGAGCTCCCCCTGTCCCCTTCACTCACCAGGATGGAGGTCCAGCTGTAGTTGTTCCCCGTGGTGCTTTGTAGGGGTGTGCAAAATGGGCCCTATTCAATTCAGATTTGGCCTGAATTGGGGACAGTGATTCGATTAGTTGATTTGGGTCACTGTCCCCGATTCAATTCGGCCAAATCTGAAGATTGGATGCTAATTTGGAGAATCAGTGATTCAGACATAGACGTAGTTTTAAATGTTTTTTCTACATACCTCGAGGTACTAGGCACTGCTCGTGAATGCTGCGATGCTGGGGGAGATGGGGCGTCCCACAGGAGCACGGGGACCCCCGCGTGCTTGGCGGCAAACCCAGAAGTGGACTGGAAGTACTTCTGGTCCACTTCTGGGTCCACTGGGGAGTATGCAGGGGCCCCCCCGTACCCCCCTGGCTCGGAAATCAGACATGGGGGGACCCTGGGTGCCCCCCTGGCCCAGAAGGCACCAGTCGCTGAGCTGGGAGGGTGTGGGGGTCCCTCCTGCACGCTCTCCAGTGGACCCAGAAGTGAACTGGAAGTGCTTCTGGTCCACTTCTGGGTCTGCTGCCGAGTGCACTGGGGAGCCCCCCGTGCTTCTGTGGGACACCCCATGTGCCCCAACATCGCAGCATTCACGAGCCACCTGCTACCTAGAGGTATGTAGAAAAAACACTTAAAATTGTGTCTATGTCTGAATCTCTGAATCTTTCTGAATCTCTCTGAATCGATTTGGAGGGTTCCAATTCGATTAAAAAAAGATTAAAGGGTCCTCTGATTCGATTTGGATTTAGAGATTTGGTCACCAAATTGAGCCGAATGTTCACCGAATCAAATCAGGGACCGAAGCTTCACCCAGCCCTAGTGCTTTGTGGTGGTGTGCAACTCTGATATGCTGGTGCGCTGCCCCTGCCCAAATGCTGTTGCCTCTCACTCCCAAGCCACAGCCTCCCTGAGCCCTGCCAGTGCCCCTCACTCCTGACTCTCAGCCCCCTGGCCCTGCTAGTGCCGCTCATCCCAACCCACAGTCCCCCTGACCTGCCCCCAGGCCATGCTGTTGCCCCTCACTCCTGACCCATAGCTCCTTGGCCCTGTCAGTGCCCCTTACTCCTAACCCATAGTCCCCCACCCCCCTGGGCCATGCTGGTGCTCCTCACTCCCAACCCGCAGCCCTTGTCCCCACCAGTCCCCTCACTCCTGACCCATAGTCACCCGCCCCCTTGGTGCTCTTCACTCCAAGCTACAGCCCCCCCAACACCGCCAGTGCCCTGGGCTGGGGGCTCCTGCGCAGTGCCAGGTAGCCTGGCCATGCCTCCCCCGCCTCCAAGGCAGCATCTCCCAGCCACCCTGCTCCTACCAATGGTCCAGCCACACAGCTCCCTGCTGCCCCTAAAAGGCCTCCCTGCCCCCCCAGTGGCAATGTGTAGGGGGTGCACCCCCTGAGATCGCCGGTGCACCCCCTGACCGGCCACACTCACTGCTTAGGCGCTGGGCGGGGGGACGGGTGGGAGCGTCAGTGCCCTCCCTGCAAGCACTGGCCAGGGAGGGGAGCGCTGTGGCTCTCCCAGAAGTGACCGCAGCCACTTCCGGAAGTGGCCACAGAGATTGGCTGCAGCTTTTGGCTGTCTTGTGATCAGTTGTGGGCCCCACCCCCGGTCAGTGAGTTCACCCCCCTGGTTGCTGACTGGTTGCTGGGGGGGACGGGGGGGCACGTGGCCCCCTAAGGCAGCTCCAGTCGCCCATACTGTCCCCTTTTCTCACTGGAGGGGCAGGTGCCTCCCCCCACCCCCTTGCCCTGTTGCACCTGCAGTCCCAGTGCCTGGACATCTTCCCGCAGCACCAGCAGGCACTTCTATACAACTATCCCCTCTATACACCCCTGCCGCACAAACACACACACAAGCCCAACCCCTTCCCTCTCCACAACATCCTGTACAGTCCCCAAGTCCTGGCCCTCCAACCACCTGCCATAGGCTTACCTGCATCTAGCTGCCAGAGCTGCTCCCACCACCCTGCCTGGCTCTGTGTGTGTGTGTGTGTGTGTGTGTTTTGGCACCCCCTGACCATGGTGCCCTGGGAGGTTGCCCACATCACCCACCCCTAAGACCCAGCTCTGCCACTGGGTGAAAGAGACTAGAACCAACTTCCTGAGTGAACAGCCTAACAAGTCAGCTACTGGGGCTAAAAACACCTTCTGCCATCTAACCCTGGGTCATGAGCTTTGCCCATGCAGAATTTTGTGACCTACATATGCAGCAGTGTACCTGCCTGGTCAGCACATAGACTAGTAGCTCTGTGCATGTTTATGTATCCACACTGCAGAGGTAACAGAATCAGAAACTGCATAAGTGCCAAAAACACCACTTCTGCAGCTAGGAAATTGGCATTGGTGCACATAAAGGGTAACAGAATTCTGCCTTATAGGCTCAAGAAATCAACCACCTCTGTGGAAATTTCCTGCCTCCCCTTCCCAGCAGAATGCTGTGCCTATTGAATACACACCATGCTGATGGCATATCCTTCATAAACGTGGAAACGTCCTTGCATGCATACACATGGCTTTCCACTCAGGTCCCCAAACACCAGTCTGCCAGCGTGTCCCGGTACTGAAACAATTAACAAAGCGTTACTTGCATCAAGATTCTTGGTTTCAGAAAGTTACGATGGCTGGTGATTATACAGTACAGCAGAACCTTGCAGTGAAAAGATGGGGGCCTATAGTTAGATTTGTGCATTTATATTCAGGGACCTTAAATAAATGTCCTGTTTTCCCCCATGCTCTCTCCCTTCCATCTATGTGCGTAGCCACTGGAATCTTCTTCAGGGTGTTAACTTCTGACCTTAAAGTAACAACAGCAAATTCTGTCTTCATGGGTCATTCACCCTTTGGCCTCATAGCCAATAAGACAGCCAGCCAATGCAAATTACAATAGTTTTTGTGCTGCTGACACTCGCCCAATAGCAACTAGGCTGAGAAGAAATGTTTTCTCACAAAACAACAAAGAATTAGCAACATGGTAAAAACTTTTGGTGACTAAAACCAAGACTAAATTTGAACTGATGAAATGCTCTTATATTCCCAATTTTCTGAGTCAACCAGTAAGGCCTTTCTTTTCGTTTATGAATATAATTTGCTTAAGGGGGTGGACACAATTGTTGACATATGATTTAGCTTTTGGTACTGATGACACAGGGTTAAGGTCTATGTTAATGGTATACAAACTGTAGGTAGAACGTGGACTTGAGGATGTCTTTCATTGTTGATGGATAGTTTAGGACAGGATGCCAAGTCAAGAGAAGAACAAGGAGGTGATATACACGTGATGACATCTTGTTTGATGTAGAGACTAGTACACAGAGATGATTTTATGCTTTGATGCATGCTGTTGATGGATATAACTGAGTTACTACCAATAAGCAGTTGGGTAATGCTAACCTGTGCTCTGTGGGAAGTAAGGGATGTCCTCATATGGAAAGACAGTCTTGTTATGTAGAGTGTCCGCCAGAGCTCCCAGTCCTGAACCACAGATGATGCCGATCTTTGGACGCTGAGTAGTATGAGCTAGTAGCCAATCAGCTGTTTCCTTATATAGCTCATACTGATTTCTGCAGAAGAAGTCAATGACAGTTTATCAGCCCAACAACTGGAATAAGCTTCAGCCTGTACACTCCCTCAGGGCTTGCAAAAGAAAATTAGTCTTCAGTCAGGACCAGAACAACACTAGAGTTCTGTTCCTATTAGTTGCCTCCCTTCAGCTACCATTCCATACCTCTGTTCTATTTCTGGCTCTGCCCCTGCCTTGCTCAGTGGCCTTGAGCAAATCACTTGACTTCTAAGTACCAGTTTCACCATATGGAAAAAGGACATAATGATATCTGTATCACAGAGGTGTTGTGAGGCTTAATTCATTCATGTTTGCAAAGTGCTTTGGGCTTTTGAGTTGCTCTTGATGTGTAAATATATCAGTCTGAGAAATTCCAAATGGTGTTCAGTTGCATGTTAATGCCTAATGTATTATGTTAAAAACTGTGGATAAGAGACTTTGTCTATAGACATCCTCCTATTAAAGGGTATGGATGATGCCCTTTGTCTATGCTTGGGTGTGTCTGAAGGGCTTTTAAAGATGTGTCTGATCTTCATAGCTGTTGAGTGCTCTCAGTTGATGACTCCAACCAAATTTGTGGGTGCCTGGCCCTTTTGAAAATTAGACTCATTATGGCTACCTTATGCACAATGTCTTCAGAAGCTGGGATGATTGTGCAAGACCTTCTCACTCCTATCTTGTGTTGTGGGGACAGTAATGTATACCCACAATTTAGCCCTCTGTGAAAGACTTAAGCTAGCATAAACCAAGAGCCAAACTAAAACTAGAACACAGGACTCCTGGCTTCCAGACCTTGAACTGTCAGCAAAAGATCTTATTTCTCCCTGTGGTTACTACTATAATGCCAGCTAACCCCATGATATATATGTGCATTATGTAGCTTCATCCTTCTCAGTTACTTATTTCAAAAAGCAAAAGCAAAAAGCACCCTAGGGGAATGTACAGTCGTTCATTCTTGTAAGAGTTTCTCTCACAAGGGAAATCATAGGTGTCAACCTGGAAGACCTTTCTCCTGGAGAGGGCATGTTTAACCTGGAAGAAATGGAACGAATGCTTGTATGCTTCTAGTTTCAACTGGGATACCAGTGATTCTCTTGGTAGAAACTGTGGTGGGAGAAATCTCCCTAAGGTTCGTTGTCTAGCTGTAATTTGATAGACAGACAACACGGGTAAAGACAGACAGCTGTTTATTTGCTCGAGCAAAGACCATAATGTAAGCAAAAGGCAAAATGGCCCCCCCCTAAAGGGTGAGGCGATCTTTTATACTTATTATAATAAGGCAAGACTTATAGAGTTAACAAAAAAGCAATATTTGGGCGGTGTTTTATAAATCTTTGTAACAGCATATTTTTATTAAGCTGAACTAGCACTTTTTCAAAAGCTAAAAGTTAAGTAACAGTAACTTTATAATAAGTTAGCAAAATCTTATATAGTAGTAGATACTTCTCAAGGACACAACCACTGCACCCAGAACAATGGCTTCCCTGTCTCATCTTATTTCTTGCTGTAGCTGATTTTTTAGCACACAGACATAGATCCACTTTTTAACTCAGAAAATGCTTAATACAGTTAAAATGATTACTTGACACAAGCAAAGGCTTAGCTATCATTCTGCCTTGTGGTCAGCTGCATTGTTAGGCCACAGGTTATGCCTTGTATTCAGCTATAAAGCTAATATTTTTTAATAATCCAAATGATTGTTAACCTAACAGTATGCTATCAGAAAACTATTTTATTTCAGGGTAATAATAAACCTGCGCACTATAATTCCTCCCTTTGTTTTAATTTTTCAGAGGAAATTTTGGAACACACTTTTAGGTATTTAACTTTTTGTGGGGTTAGGTTTTGATGATTGATGCTGGATATTTGTATAAACTGACCATATATTTTTA